TGAGAATATGACCTCAAAGTTTCATTGTTCCAAGTGGGAGGAGGTGGGAGGCTTATGCGAGTTGCCCCATTGGGCCACTTCAGACACCCTTGATCAAGAGGTCATGTCACAGTGTACCGACTGCGCGTGTGCACGCAATAGTATGTGGTGATGGTCAAAGTCCCTTTTGAAAGGAGACAAAAAACCAGAGCCCGTGGATGTCACCGTTAAGAATGTAGGCGGTTCAACGGAATCTGTGGGCTAAGGACTACCTCAACCTAGAGGATCATTCCTCTGAACACGTAACCAGCTCATGGAACGCCTGATCAGTATTTGAAACGTATCTCGGATGAATGGAAACGGCGTAGACAATTATTCACAACTACGGAAAGCTACGATTTCGAAATGGTGGACGCTCTTGACCGGCGCGGAATGCTTGACTGCTGCCTTAATTAATAGAAGGTGGGTCAGTACCTGCTTTGATATTCTTGTAAAACATCTCGGAGGGTGGACTGTCCAATCTGGGCATATTCTAAAGCCGAAACTGCTTTGTAGGCGTTGAGTAAACGCGGAGAAGGTGTGGATATAAGCAGCAGGCAATATTTTCTAAGGAATCACACAAATGAACGTGGCAAGACGGTGTCTAGGTGACAAAGAAAAGCGCCCAATTTCCTGTTGGGCTAACTGCCGTTTTCTCTAGTGACTGGGTGCGAATTATCGCTTCAGACTCTGGCAAAAGTACGAATTTGGCTGAGGACTTCTTAATTACTCTAAGAGGTCTATTCAGAGCAAATATTTTAAGATGTCACTTTTGTAGATTGCTTTTATTGCGACTTACTTTTGCTGCCAAATACAAAGTGCGTTCAAGTCAAACCGGCACTGCTGAGCCTGCGTGGATAAAAAATGGAAAGAACGAATTGCACAGAGTAGGTCTTGCTCCTACCTCTTATCACTTAGTTCTCTTCCATATATATGCACCCATTCCTCAACGGTTTAGTCGTGGAACGACCAATCAGTCCGGCTAAATTGTCTGAGGGTAGACAGTCCGCTTCACTTCGCCCAAGGTGCGAAAACTCCCTTAAATTCATAACTGGCTGTATTTTGCTAACTTCAGTCGCAGAAAGATTTACCAGCTATACAGCTTTGTAATTCGACAGGTCAGGTGTTGATTAGGCATGCAGGATGCGGTATACGCGTCGGTCGAATCGACTGTTCGCTGTGGTGGGTGGCAGTGAGAACTCTAGGAACCACAACAGGCAGGACTTGTAAGTGGCTAGCCGTCCCATCAGCGTGGATTAAGTGCCTCAGTTAAGAAGGGTCTTCGCTACTTAACACCATTCCACGCAAGGGCTCGCCACCACCGCTCCCCTCCATCTTTGTAAACGGTGTCTTGACCGGCTCATAGCATGAGCCCTAAGCCATTGCAAACGAGCATAAGTGACATCTACCACGATTGCTGATTTCTATAAAAAATTGTACTTTACAATATGTTTTCTTTGAAAGAAGTTGACATTATTTTTACTAAGCCATCGCATAAGCCACTCAAAGCCTCTTCGTTCGGTCCCGTTTTTAGACCGCAGTAAGCCCTTGTTATTGGCGGCGTTGTAGGTTTATTACCTTCTCTACAAATTCCAAAATTTGGTAGTCCATTAGGGATTTTGTTTCATTGCTGGCTTATGTGGCCTAAATACAAAAAACATCGGAGGCTTGCTAAAAAATGCTAACATATCTCCTGATGAGGGGTTCAAAAATCCTTTATTGTTGCCAATTTGAGTTGTGTGTTCGGCTTTTTCTTTAACTTAAACAGGTTTTGGTCCCCACTTTTGTGTACGACACTTCTCAAAGGGCTTTAGTATCTCATCGGTGGCAGCTATAACCAGGCATATTCTGTCGTTGGTGAACATCATCTTGCAAACCATAATTTTTGAAATCTAGCTTAGAAAACCGTCCATTTTTAGCCTCGGTTGAAGCATTTGTTTGCCTCTTTGCCAAAGAAGGATGTGACAGGTGAGGCAGTAACATGTTTGTTCCCATTTCCTTCCTGAAGCTATTAACGTGAGTGACAGTGGAACAATTCGTTGACCAACTCTACGTTAGCTGGGAGGCTAAGGTCACGGACGAGTCTCGGTATCTGGGTGCATCATGTCATTTTATTGACAAATGGCAGGCAATAGGGTTGAAAGACAGTCAACCTGGCGTCCCTCGGTATTTTTTTCCTTAGGTTAAGAAGCGCATCGTGCAGTTCACATTGTTTACTGACTGAGGGACTGACGGACTTGTGATGCGAAGTGTCTTTTGTGGGTTTCCATTGCAATGTTCATTGAACGACCAAATATGCCATTGGTTTTTTCAAACGACACGTTACTCCACCTTGCATTTCTGAGGCATTCATGCCTCTACTTTTTTCCCTTTCTTACAAGTAATACGAGAAAAGTCAGGATGAGAGGAGACATCACAGGTCCCCATACCTCAAGCTGTCATGCAATCAGGTGACAGAAAGAGTGACATGTGACGTGCATCTATTTTTGGTATTATTCACTCTTCCCAAGTAGAACAAAATGTTGGAATTGTTGTGAAGTCAAAGCGCGATAGCAACAGAGGCAGTACAAGCCGAGTTTGTTCATTCGTCACTAAAGCCAAGGCCTTTGGTTGGAGGGAGTCCACAGCACTCTAGTGTCTCCTTCGGTGGATAATAGATTGCAAAGCTTCAGTTTATGGATTTTCGAACCCCACCCAAAATTCCTGTGAAGTTAATTTAAAAACTAGATTTCTTCATGAAACCCGAGTTTACCTTCACTCCTACACCAGCAGTCCCATCGTCACGCATTGCCCACTCAAGTGCAACGAGTGGATATGTCTAGACAGACTTGCATAACCATATAATTAATTGATAAAATCTTCCCCCTATAAAAGGTTTAATTTCGTCTTCCACAGGCTGCTTCACCTTAATATGTGTGCATTCGGTAGTCGCTGCCAAACCTCAACCGATTGTACTTCGCTTTCGGCGTCCGATACATGGCAAAAGTGAATTACCACAGTGCCTGGTAGAGTCTGTTCGAAGATGTGAGTGGATGGACTGATTCAACTCACCGGGGACGGTACGAGTGGTTATGAAGTCGTACTAATAAATTACATAACGCTACTTATAAAACTTTATAAGTAGCATGACATAGTAGACACTCTTGGGTTTAGTTAAGCCTGGCTTGGAATACGATGTTAAAGGTACACTAGTCGAGGAAAAGGAGTTGATAAGGCAAATATTTTGATGTTTACCATGCGATACTAAATTGCAACGTGACTGACATTTCGGTCATGACCTGCATAGCCAAGTAACCAAACGCGCAGTTCTAGCCACTTCCCTATCTCCCTCACTTCCACTTCCCAACTGTCACATTTATCAGCCGCCGTAAAAATGACAATTATTACATGAAGAAATAGGAATAGGAGAGCATGGCGAGTGGGAATTAGAAAGAGGATGAAAACAAGGCAGTATGTCTCTCGTCTCCTCCCGTCCCTAAGGCGCATTTCGTTATGGTGTAGGTGGTTGCGCTGTCTTGTGTTACCGACTCAAACACGCAAAGCGAGTGCAGCTTTCTAAAGGTGGTAGGTTGTTTAGTGTATTGTTTGCGGGTAACGAGTGATGCATTCAGTCACCTAACAAACTTTGCAATACGAACTGGTGGAGGTCGTTTCTCATCAAAAGTATATTCTTTGCAAACAATCCGTAATACGTAGCGTATTTCTATAACCTTATTAATTATGAATTGCCTGTCGTTGAAGGTTGCTATCTAGCAGCCCTCAATGTGTGGCGATGAACGGTGTCATCGTGACCGGTCGATTCGGAAATGTGTTACTCAACATCGAAATTCCGAAAGTAATGCGCCTATCTTTGAGTGATTACCTAACGATTGCAACTTTCCTTAACCGCACACCTCACCTCCTTGCAATACTATGCAACGCATCCTTCGTGAAATGAGTCAGAATGCCATCGCGGGGCAGATCTTCTCAAATCACATTGGTTTCAACGAAGCCTGGTACGCTCAAGGGTTTTAAATGGCAGTGGAAGAGAGGGGCGGCTGCAAAGTGGTGTGAAATTTACCCGGTAAACAGGTGCACTTCCTTCCCTTCTCATGTCTGCAAGCAGTTGTAGACTTTTTATAACTCCCTAGATAGTGAAACGGCTCAGTGATCACCTGGCAGTCCACCTGAAAGTAGGCCATCGTAGAAAAGGTGTACCGAACGTATTGCAACACCGATCTCGAAGTTGAAAAAGTTCAGTAAATCCCAACCGACCTGTGTAAATTGACACTTCAAAGAGGTCCACTGAATCTTCTTCAGAGTGCTTCTTGCTTAGAGAATTCTCCGCCTGAAGTCGGTCATAATTCGATACCTCGCATCCAGTGATAAAACCGGGTACTGTGGGCCCATAGTAGTGAAACGCAGTGAATTTGGAATCCAAATTACTAGTCAACAGTCGAATAAAATGCCAACCCTCTCGCTTGTCCTGATTACGGGAAGTTAAATTGCCCTGTTTTCAAGTTATCTCAAGCCCACAAACAAATTATCACTTCACCTGTCATTAATCTTATTTACCAGAAACCCTTAATTTACCAAAAACAATCCCTTATTCCAAGCACAGCCCATTTATCTGCTTCCTACAGAATTCCGAATTAGTTGGCTGGTAGATTAAGGTTCTCTAGAGCAGGCTACAATGATAGGATCTTGAATATCCCCATTTACTTGCCATTCACCAGCTTCAAATTAACATCTTGTAGACTTGCGATTTAAAAGTAACAATAAATTTTTGGTACTAAAACACACCAGAACATGTCATACCCCAAAGTGGGGTGGTTACTCACTCCCAATTCACTGTGAAACAATGAAACGCAGAGTCAAATGTGGGAGCCGTCATTGTAGGGATAAAGTGGATCCCTCTACTGGGAACAATTCATTTCGATATCCTTAATTTACGATCCCCTCATGAAAACGCATCAACTGGGAGTGCCTTGAGCAATCAGCCAATGAGCACAATGCGAGTCTGTGATTGGTCGATTGAAGAAGAAATTATCCTCACACGCTCCTTTCCCTATGGTGTGGTGGTCGACATTTGCGCAAACTTCTGCATCGAGAGGAGTTTTCATTGCTTTGCGTGGCGTGTAATGGTGGAGGAGTACGAGGACGACTTTGATCGATTCTGTCGTATTGGAATGGGGACGGGTAGTGAGTACTCACCCGTTCGGCCCACTCATCGAGACTTTCTTGCCGCCCCCACCGAAATCAACCGAAACCGTGCTGGCAGCCTTCGAGAGACACGATACAGACAGCATCACCGCAATGATCATCCTGCAATGCGGGGGAGATTTGAAAGAACTACCACTACTGATGATTTCGGTATGCAGGGTGACTCCGTGTACAATCTACGGCGATATTCACTTGCACCCAGTTTTCAGAACCTGCGTACTCGCGGATCCCTCCATTATCCCAGTGAAGACATCTCAGATGATCGCTCCAACTCCGCTCGTCCCTTTACACCGACAAGACAGACCTCTCCTCTACCACGAAACGGCAGTTCCGGAGGGGTTTGTCCCCCTCCGATTAACGTCTACCATGAGGTTGACTCTCCCGGTCACCATAGCACCAACGTGGTCCGAGTGCGTTCCTTTAGACGCACGAAGACGGGAGTTATAGATGAGACGGAAAAGAAACGGCGACTTTCACAGGAATTTTCATTACCAGCTCGAAAGACGAGCAAGACGAGAAGTCTGAAGGCTCCTTCTGGCGAGTTAAGACTCTCTGATCGGTGTGAGACAGCAAGGTCGATTCGGAGACGATCCTTTACGGACAACTCCTGGAAAGGCAACAACATCAACAACAGTGCTACAAATGTCAACAATAGCAATGTTGCCTCTGAAGCCTCAGAAGTTGAAAATGGACCACTGGGACAGGTGGCCGAACCCTACAAGGTGCAGGTGCTTGGCGCTGACCAAGTGGGCAAAACCACAATGTGCACTCAGTTTCTCACCTCGGAATCGTTGGAAGCAGGATATGACACCGGTAAGTCAATCTTTGTCTGTATCTAGGGAATTAGGCCAGATTGATTCAATCAATGGTGTAATTTCTTAAAAGACTCGGGGGTAAATCTTAGTGCTCTATAAACAGATAATTGGTACACTTTTGGTCTAACTACCTATAACTAGATGTAGGTACTATCAGTTCAAGTTCAGCTTAGTTTTTTAATTTGTATTCGTGGTCATTTAAAGTGTTTGCTCCCAGACTTGACCAGAGAACGGAAACGGCACTGAAATTGTGATTATCCTCCACAGACCGAGAAGTCATTCCTAAGCGAATTACGATTTGATGCAACCAGTTTTTATGAACAGACAAAGGACCCACGTCCCACATATGTGACACTGGCAGATAATGTGGTAATTTGAAAGGAAAATTCGTTCATTCCTGCAACAGATCAGGGCCTTACGATTACAGTAAATGGGTAAAAAGGCAGATAAATAATAAGGTGTTACTGTTTGAGGAGCATAAAAACAAACATCTGGTGTTGTTGATGTTGTTGTTGCTGTTCCCAAAGCAGGTGATTTGATTCAAAAAGGAGCAATATGGGTTTTTCGCCAGTTAACAACCTATCTCCCATCTGCTTATGACAATTGGGGTTTAGCTGTGTATAAAACAAGTTAAAAAACCGCCTCAACCCGGTTCCTTTTCATTAACTACGAGACAGAACGCTTACGCCATCTTTGAGTGGGTTTGTTATTCGCCTTGTTAACCATCGCAAAAGCTTCCTTTTGTACATTTAAATTACACCTGACTAAACATTCACGGCAAACAACTGCATTGAGAGCAAAGTGGATTAATCCGCACACGTATTTACCATTGCCAAGTCCAAAGCAAGCTCTACAATAGCCAATTTTTTTTCAGACTTCCCATTTAACAGCCACAAATGTGTGAAGTGACGTCATTTCCGGTTAGGTGATTTGCTCCGACAATCATGTATTTCCGTCTATTCGAAATATTTATCTCTCCCATTTATTTTGGTTCAATGAATTTGCGCAGTTCACACGACACCACATAATGAACTTAAGAGGCTTCAATTTATCTCAGGCTCTCAAGAACAATACACTTTGACAGATAGATTTATTGTTTACACTTGTGTGTTTATGTAAGTTACCTAGTAAAAGGCATTGGTTTTGCATGAAACAATATTTGTAAACCAGGAGGTTGAAATTTTTACATCACTGAAAAGTTTTATTTGTTCAAAATTGTCCTCATTTTCTCCGCTATTATTAAGCATGAGTGTTCTCTACACTTTGTTTAAGCACATAGAAAGTACTTTCTCCTTAATTACATCATCACCTTGAACAACACGTACTTATAAGAATTCAAGAATTGAAGGAGTTTAATGCATAAAAGCTAACTCACCTTAAAATGTTGTGGAACCAAACAAATAACTTTTTCAGTTTTCGGGAATATTTTTGTACACCTTTTATGTGGTTTGTAAAATCATACATATACCACAGAGTAAGTTGAATTTAGGCAAAATATGCCCACTCTCTAGTTGGTCTTTAACCGTTTTTGTAATAAGAACTAAGTGCCTGTAATATAAAACACTTACCCTAATTCCGTTAATTTGGCCTACATGATTTCACTTAACTTAAAAGAAGGCAGTTTAGGGAGTTGGAACTTTCAAACTGGCCTGAAGCCTTTGTGCGCTTTACTTAAACATTCAATTTCTGTCCGTCGGATTGGAAGTTGGAGATTTTATGGCCTGCGGCTTTTTGCGTTGCACACACCATAGCATAAAGCAGAATTTGTCTAAACGGCTGGGAAACAGACAGGGGATGGGCACGGAGGTGGTCAGGGCTAGGCTTAATAGCTATGGCAACGAAATTTGGAGCTGGCTTTTGTCGCGTTTGAAGAAGATTTTAGGCTGCAGCGGTCATTTTTTAGTTATCTCACAAAAAGCCTGTTTAACAATCAAGGCCTCTGCTTTTTTAAAAAAAGGAAAGACAAAAGTTTATTCCTGGATCACTGAATTGACACTGATTTCAGAGGCAGGAGTAACCCGTACTTATTTTATCGGTATAAACCATATCCCATCCCTTTCGTTCACGGAAATGCATTGCTGCGCACGGTTTCTATGAAAGTAAGGGGACTTTCTAATTAGCTCTGGCGGCACCATCCTTTCAGACCAGGTTACTACCCCAAAAAATTCATTTATTTACCAAGTAATTCTTTAAAATACTGCAGTGGTCGGCTGTCAACCGAGGTACATCACATCTTGCAATTATCTTATGGTTTTCACCTTACTCAAATATTGGAATGTTCATAAAGTAGGTCTTTTCACTGACGCCTCCCCTATGCAGACATCTGTGTATGCATGACTTAGGACTGCAGCATTTGATTTTCCCATTCAAAAAAACATGCATGATATTAAACACGGTAGGGTTCTATACTTCCTTCGGCTGTCTGCTCATGGGCAAACGCTACACAGTTAGTAAATCTATTAAATGTTCTTACAGTGTCTTAACGTTGATGTAATATGATGTCAAAATCTCGAAGATGCTTGTAAGTAGGTTTTTGTTTATCTCCTGAAAATGGTCAAGCCTTTCCTTCGCCTGGTCCTTTCCCATTGCCAAGTTGCTATGTCTTAAAATTCGAGGCGTATGGATTCTCTCCCTAGCTACAATTATTAATCTGCTTTATTTCGTCCCTTGAGTCTGCTGCGTAAACAGACGCAACAGGCTCTAATTTTATGACAACAAAGTCATAGGTTTTGAAGTTCCAAAAAAAAAGGCACCTGTCCCTTTTTTCGGCGATGGAACGACCGAAGTGTGTGCCTTAACTCTGCCGGTTGCGAGGTAGTGTGGCAGGGCACTACATTTGCAACCTGCTTTTTACAAGTTATCCAGTTGTTGTTCTCCTGTTTTTGGGTTATTTTCCTAAAGTTTTGCTTTTTTTAAGTATCCCCTTTAGAATTTTGCTACAATATAGCTGGTGTCAATTACATTTGTCAAATAATAACAGCTCATTTGAGAGAGGGAAGCACTCCAACTCATGGTGGTAAACTGAGGCCTATGATAAGCCTTTTATCCTCAAAAATGGCTAACAAAACGGAAATTTAAAACGTTTTCTTGGTACCTCAATCATGAAGAAAAATCAAGTTGACTTTCCTTGATGGCTTTCAAGGTGACAGTGTTTGATTGTCACTTTGCTGACTGGGAAATCCAGCACCCCATCATTACAACTTACTTCTGCCAACATTGAAATGAGAGATTAAAAAAGGACTTTCTAAAATTTGACTTGTTTTCTGTTTATTACAGACAAGGGAGACACAAGTGAGTCTTGCCTACGGTTAGAGAGTTAGCTCTTAGTAGTTTCCCTCAGTGGTGACCCACAAGGTGAGAGTTGAATTTCCCACTTTTCCCAAAAATTACGGAAGTTGTGGCGCTTTTTGGCAGAATCAATGCCACAGTCAGAGAGATTTTTCGGATGACGGCTCTTTTAATAACTTACGAGATTATCATCTTAATGCCACCATCTTTCTATATTCTTAGAACACTTTCGGCTTTTCGTGACTTCTTAGTGCCCATGAGAAAAACATGGTGACTCTGGTTTATTATTTTGACCTGAAAAGTGACAAAAGTTTATGGGAGGTCTTCAAATTAGCATATTTCCTCGGTAAATGTATTTTTTAACTTTTAAGTCCACCTTTGTGTCACGTGGTCTCAAAGGTAATATGCAAGTCTGGACGCTAACCATTGGCGACAGATAAGTTCATGTCAATTAACAAAATTAGTCCCTGCTTTTTTCCTTTTAGTAAAAGTGCACAAATTAAAAAGGCTCCTTTAATATCTTAATCATTACAGAAAATACCACCATCCACACCACACATATCGCTCTAAACAAGACATTAGCTGGCTACAAATTCCCCCCGACTACCCAACCTGGTTTTTAGCACGCCTCGGATCTCCAACCGCTTATTCTATAGCACATATGTCTGTCGAATACCAACTCCTTGAAGAGGTGATACTTATTACTTGGGGACTTCTCAACAGTGAATTACGAAGAGTGGAAAGGATGCATTCCCCCTGTACCTGTTTCTCACTCTCCCTCACTCAAACCCATCTTCTCATGTAGGACTAAGTGTCTTGGAGGCATGAGATGTGAAGTGTTGCAGTGTCTTTTCCTCTCTTGTCGTGTAAGATTAAGAATGGAACGTTCGTGCGACCAATTGACTAGTCTGCCTCTTTCTTAAGAAGTCCTCTTCCTTGCACACCAACAAGTAGATCAAAGTCAGCAATAATTTAGACAGGGATGAGTTCTAGTTTGCCAACTAAACAACTGCGCCTAAAGCCACCATTCGATTGCTCTTTCAATTCAGGTGTTTCGTTTTCTTCCGCGTTCAGACTAAACCCACCAGCTGCGAAGGGTTAACATTCAGTTTTAATGCATTTGCCTTACTGAATCCAAACTTTAGTCCTCATTGTGAACGGCATTGATCGGGAAGGAAAGCTGGACTCCGCAGTGCTTGGGGCTTCAAAAAGTTCTTAGAAAATTTGACCGAAAGAGAGACAATTTAATAGGGGTAATTTAAAGAGGCCTTTCGGAGCTTATGATCCTTGTCTACTCCCCACTTTAGTGCCACCTCGCAACCTCTCTGGGTTCCATTAGGCAACTGTTGGCATGGAGAAGGTAGATCATATTATTGTCATTGGTGGTTCCGAAATAGATATTTTCAGACTGGTGAATTCGGCCATCTGTAGCAAACACTTTCTGTAAGGACGGAGATCGGCTACCAGTAAAAGTGATTAAGAGAGTTGTTTCTTTAAATTGGGCTTACTTGCTGTCGCCGACAATGCAACAATCCGAGTCCTTCTGGAAACCACCAAAAATGTCCGCACAAACCGCAGGCCGAAAATCAAGTCGCGACAATATAGCAGAGGGAAAAGTTGTTTCCTTCTAGTCGAGGAAATTCAAGTGCTTATGCATTGCTCTTCCCTTCAGCTCAAAAAAACCCCTCTTATTCTAGTTTTGCGCACTTTTCGCCTGAAAGGAGACACGTCTGTTGAAATTTTAATGCATTGCCGATGGGCGCAGTGCTCAAAATAATAATCGTGGAAATCGCTCGGCAGGCAATGGAGTGGATATTGCAGCCTGGAAAAAAGCGCGAATGCATCAGGATGAGTTAAAAAGTTATCGCCTTGTTCATCCTGACGGGGAGACTGTAACTCACTGTGCAAAACAGTCAATCTGGGATAAAAGAATTTTGCTGTTCAAAAGTGAAATCAGGTAGCATTTAACAACGCGACTTGCTTTGCTTCGGTGATTCCTGCTTTCCATATTACTGGCACGACTTTCCATTCACGTCCTAGCTACTGCTGTGCTTCCCTGCCATTTCATTCGGATCGAGACTGTCCACCGCCATCCACTATGCAGAGTCCTAGTTTTCACGAGAAATGAAGTTGTGGAGAAAGGTAGAGACTGGAGCAAAGGCTATGCATAGTAAGAGGCACAGCATTGCAGGTTCACCTGAATCATTCAGTTTGGTAATCCCGCTGTGCGTTATTTTACAGAACTGCAAGATCGTTTGGACTTTCTACATGAAAAGGGACTAAATATTACTTCAGCGACCCATATTGCGAATTCGTGGGATCACATCTTCCTCAGTTTTTTTTGATCTCACTCTTCAGACGGTATAATCACCTCTACTTTCATTTAATGGGTGGGTAAGTGGTTAGATGGATGAATACAGGATGGATGGGTGGATGGTTACAGGATGGATGGATGTATGACTGATGGATGAGTACGGGATGAGTGAATGAATGGATGCGGTATGGATGGATATGGAATGGATGGATGGATAGAAGGATACGGAAATGGTAGAAATTTTGGTTGACTGATTAACTGAGTGATCACTTGATGGCGTCAGATCCAAAGTAAAAGGCCCATAAATGGCGTGGTGGACACATGCATTCAGTATTTAAATAATAAATTGCCAAGTCACAAGTAAAAGTACTTTTGGTAGTTAGAAGTTTACATCATTTTCAATCATAAAATTATGCTCATATTTTTTAAATTTCTCACTACTGAAATTGAGAAAGAACATCAATTCAGACGGCTTGTTTGTTCCAATTTTAGCTGAAGCTACTTTTATTCACACTTTTCTGGAAGTCTCATAAAGTGCTACGAAATTGGAGTAGTTACTCCTCAGAAAACAATAAGCTAGGCAGATAGGAAAGATGGTGACCGAAATTTGCAATGACTGAAAGGCTGGAGTGATCAGCAGCAGCAGTCCTTTTTTCAGTGGAAATTCGCGATCTGACCTCTCAGTGATCACTCTCCAAAATCAGATGTCAAAAGTCCTTCTGTATTACTTCTTCCGTAAGAAGAGTTGCCTCAAGTTATAAAGCCAAATGCTGAGGGTGTTCCACAGCAGATCACTCTGTTTGTATCCACATAAAGGAAGAAATTCCAGAACGTTAAACTCCCAATTGGGAAGTAGGCTACGACTCTGTACAAGCTTGCATTAAACCTTTATGCATTTTATTCGCCGCCAAGAGAAAGAATCGTTTCTAGCACAATGTCTTCACAAGATGGACTGTGAATTACTAAGGTATAAAGGATCAGGAATCCTATATACTGACAGACACGTATGACAGTTTTCAAAGCATTTACAAGGTTAATTTAAATGTCTCAGAGCTAAGCGGTTTGGTGTCGCATCGGTATGAAAACCGTGCCTGAAGTCTTGACAAAAGATCCGAGGATTAATTTCATCCATGGGTCACGAGGCGCTTCATTACCACAAGTCATTCTACGCCTGCAAGGTCCACAATAATTGTCTACCAGCTAGAATATCAATGCTTTAAAGATCTATGAAATATACCCCAAATGTTTGACAGTTCTGACACCTGCTACGGCTTATGGTAGCAAGACTTTTCAAAAGCCTAAAGAACAAAAGGGCCGATTTTATTTAAACTACCATTAAGTCACCGTCGTTTCTACTACAGCTAACGACGGAAATGTCCTTGAGACAATCACAGTGGACGTAGACGGTCAACAGACAAGCCTTCTGCTCATTGACAGCGACAGCTACGAGCATCCCAACTTTGCGGTGAGTTTCAAAACACACCACTTTAAACATATTTTAACTCTTGCTTCACATTTACTG